TTACTGATGCTCTTTCTTTTATTGATGATGGTGGTATTTCTTGGACTGGTAATGCGGGAATACCACAAGAAGAAGAAGAAATTATTTTGGATAATGCCAATGTTGATTTACAGGATGTTATTCGTGATAATGTGAAAATAAAAGTTCGTGTTGGTCGTGGTATTGTAGTTGGAGGATTTCAGGGGTCAGATGCTGCAGATGTTGAAGCTGCATATAAACAAGAACTTGCTAATCATACTAGTGTTGATAGTGATGGTTCGTACATTATGAAAATTATGGGTTATATTACTGTTAGATTTAAACAATTACGTTCATCTCCACTTGAAATTGTTGAAGCATATAATTTTGTTCGTTGCCATCATCTTGGAAGGATACTCAGACGGGTCAAACTGTTTCTCATGATAGTGTAATTTCGTTAAATGGATTAGGTCAATTTGTTCAAGACGGTGTTAGTGGGTTTGTTATTGAACGTGGTGATGGAGAATCTTGGAGTGATGCTCTAAAACGTTATGGTTATGAAAATTTGCCTGTTGACACTTTCATGACTATTGGTTCTCTTGCTGAAGGAACGGGTATTACTTCTTATGTGTGTAACTTAGCTAAAAGAGGAGTTAAAAGTGTAATTGGTCCTTTAGTTGAAAGTGCTCTTTCTGATGCTATACCTGGTTATAATACGGCTAAAGTGTTGGTAGGTTATGCTTATACTGGTATTTCTGAGGGTATGGAGTTTATTGATAATAATACATATTTGAGTGCTGGTCGAGATGCATTGGAATCTGTTTTAATTGGTGGTTTGAGGAAAGTTGCTGGTGATGAAGTTGTTGATTTTTTTAGTAATGCTACTTCGTTAATATCTAAGACTATATCATTATTTAATTAGAACTCTTAATTGAATCTTGTTTTCATTCATTTGATGCAACGACGTGCTGGTAGACGTAATTATCCAAGAAGAGGATATAAAAAACGTTCAACTTTGAAACGACAAGCATTTGGTAATTTTGCCAGTGCTATGCAACAACGAGATAGTACTAATGTTGTTATTAGTATGCAAGAAGATGTTTCTATTAATGTTCCAGTTGGTGCAAATGAAGGTACAATGTTAAGGAATGTTACTGCATTGATGACTTCTACACAATATTTTCATAATTATATGGGAATGTATGATCAATTTAAGTTAAATGCTGTTAGAGCATCTATGGAAATGACATTTATTGGAAATCAATTATTAAATAGTGCAACATTTCCATCTATATGTACAGCATGGGATCGTAATGGTGTTAGAATCAATACTGCTGTTATTAATAATACAAGATATTTCCAATTACCTACTTATTCTTCTGTTTCTTCTTATTCTAGTGCAAATGAAAAGACGTTATATTATGGTAGTAGATGGGGAGTTGTAAGACAATTAGATGCAGCATCTATGATGGAAAAGTCTATGTATTTACCAACAACTAATACTAGAGATGTACTCAGTATGGATAATATGTATAGTGCATGGAATCCTCAATTATTAATTTCTATAAAAACTCCTCAATCTGTTAATGCTGTTAATTCTTGTACTCTTACTATTCATTGGCAATTTGATGTTACATTGAGAGGTCTTAGGAAAGTACTTGTTTCTGAAGACAATTCTTTTAAACCTTATATTGGTTTTATTGGTTATGCTCGTAATAACAATGGACTTGTTGTACCTAATAATGTTCCTAATGCACAACCTCCGTACATTTTAGTTGGAGCAATTGATAACGGTTCCGCTCCATCAATTAATCCTGAAACTGTTTATGATGCTGCTAATAATGCATATTCCAATGGTGGTTTAGTATTACCAAATGATGGTTTACCAGAACATAATGTTAATCTCTAATTGATTATTGAACTTTAATTGGTTATTTGATGTTTAAACGAAGAAGAAGACAATACAATTATAATAAACGATATAAAAGATATTATAATAGTGCTGGTAGGTATGTTTCTAGACAATATGATAAACAACCCATTGATAATGAACAGCAGTTTTATCAATTTGGTGGAAGACCTTATAATCCACCAATTCCAGATGAATCTCTTCAAAATATAGTTAATAGGGAATTAGATAAACGATTAGGTGATGAAGGTGGATTTTTTAAAAGGATTGATAAACAACAAAAAAGGATTGATGATGATAATAAAAATCTGTATAAAGCTATTTTGCGTGCTCAGCAAGATAATCTTAAAAATGTTCATCATATTGAACGTTTAGAATCTGCAATTAATAAATATAAACAAAACGCCGAACGATTTGTTACAGTTGAAGATTTAGTTCGTGAAAATAGAGAAATGATAAATAAAAACATTAATAAGATTAATGAATTAAGAATGGAATTTGGTGATTTTATTCCTCGTAATATTCGTACTCAAATAAAAGATCTTGATGAACAAAATTCTATATTGAAACGTCGTGTATCTAATATTGAAAAGAATAATGGGATATTTGTTACTCGTGCAGAGTTAAATGCTTTCAAAGATTTTTATGAACCTGTAGTTGAAAAACAGGGTTCTAGATTACAAAATATTGAAGAACGAATTGATATTTTGAAAGGATTGATTGATAAATATCCTGCTTTTGAGAATCAATTAAAAAAGTTATCTGATGATTATCAGAATATGGGTTCGGCGTTTTCTAGACAATATGATGATTTGAATTCTCGGTTTAGATATTTGAATACAATAAGTCCAGAAAATTTAAATGCTGTTAGAGCAGATTTAGAATTATATAAAGATCAACTTCAAAAAGAAATTCAATTACTTTATAGAACTAAATTAGATGTTAATGAAGCTGCCAAGTGGTTTGAACAAACATGGTCTGATACATATAGACGAAACGATGTAAAAATTTTATTAGAACAATTTGATAATTATATAAAGAAACAAGAAAGAATTGTTAAAGATATTGATTCGAGACTCGTTGAACAACAACGATTTTCATTGAAACGACTTGATACAGTTACAGATAAGGTTAATTTATATATTGAACGTCTTGATAAATTAGAAAATAAATCAGAAGAATGGAAAAATGTTTTTGATGTGGTTAACAGATTACCTGAACACATGAAAATACCTTTAAATGATTTACTAAAAGATTTATTAGAAGAACAAGAACCTGCCAATTTTACTAGAAGAATGAGAATACTTGAGAGTGAAGTGAAAGCTCTTAAATCATCAATACAGAAAATTGGTGCTGGTAAAACGGAAGAACTTACTCGTGTAATAAGTTTAGTAAATAGTATACAGAATGATATGAATTCATATAAAAAGGGAGGACAAATAATAAATGCGGGAGAAGAACGTTTTTATAGTGATGATCCGGATATGAGACAGAGTAAAAAAGCTTTTGAAAATACTCGTCAGTTATTAATTTCTCAATTTAGAGATGTTAATAAGTATATAAAAAACAATGAAGTTCGTGGTACACAATATAAAGACGTGATAAGTACTGTTAATACAATTATGAACCAATTTGAAAATATTGCTCAATCCTTTAATGCTGAGTATGTTGTTCCTGTTAATGATATGCAAAATTTTCATGAAAGTATGATGATGGTTTTGAGTGGTATTAAAGATGACAATTCGAATATTGATGAAATTCGATATAAATTGGATGTTGCTTCTCGTGATTTTACTAAATTGCAGGCTTCTTGGAATAGTAATAGAATGGCTGGTGCTAAGATTATTGCAACTAAATTGGCTGAACGAAATGGTATAAATCTTAATGAATTTGTTGAATATGCTCAGAATTTTGTTGTACGTGGTGATACTAATTCTTATGTTTCTGAAAGTATAATACAACCAAGAAAAAGAATTACAGGAGATGGTATTTCTTCTGATTCAAATTCTGGTTTGGAAAATCGTGGTCACGGAGTGGTTACAGCGAAAGAGGTAAAACATGGATATGAATTAATGGGTAGACATGAAATCGAACCTAAATATAATGTTACTCCTGTTGCTT